CACACACACACACACACACACACACACACACACACACACACACGCACACACGCACATGTATACTGTAGAGCCTCAGCTGCGACACACAGACCTGTCTGTGGCTAAAAATGGAAAGCACACTTGCTGTTGCTGAGAAGCCACAAGAAGGCTCTATATGAGACAAGTGTACAAGAAGCATTCATATTTATACTTTACAGGCTTCAAACACAAGACGAGTTGACGCTCTCTTATTGTAAAGCAGCAACAATCAAATATCTTGACTGATTTACCAAAATAAAAAACACTTTCCTATAATGCAAATGAGTTCACTTATCTTTTRTTCTGTATTTCGCCGTGAGTGACGTCTTTCAATTAGTGCAATTATTTTTGTATTCACATCATGTTACTCTGGTTATGATGACATTAGGAGCAGAATACAGAAAGTGAACTCGGTTAGTCATAATCTTGCATGGTTCTAAGATTAGACAGGTTGAAGTTTAGATGCGTAGGAGTGTCTTCGCTTCCTCCTCATTCACAGACGGACYGTGATTTTTGACAGTTTGCACTAAGCAGTCATTATTTATAGACAACTTTATCTGGAGCTCTGGGCAGTGATCATTTTTTATATTCCTTCTTTTACATTATGTGATATGAAGTTTTACCAGATGCAGATTATACTTTGAGACCTCATGTAAGTTTTAAATCATTTCAGTTATAGCTGAAAGGCTGAGTGTAACTAATYTCTTTATATTCACATTTGTTATAATGTTAATTGAAAGAGGAGGATTTAAATTAATTGTAAATTACAACAGATGAATGTTTCAGATTTCAAAAGGAATATTAATGAGCTACTGAGACAACAATTATGGCTCTAAGTGGACACAGGGGTTATGTAAAGACCGGTAGTGTGGAGTACTGTACTTAAATACATTTTTGAGTATCTTTACTTTATTATTATATTTTGGGGTGCTTATGACGTTCACTCCACTACATTTCAAAGACAAATATTGCACTTTTTACTCCACTACACTTCTAGGAAGCTTGTTAGTTACTTGTTACTTTTGGCTCAGCATWGCTCTGTAATCAGCTGTYGYTGTTTTTCTTTCTTGAAACACAATTGGCCACACGCTACGTTCCTCACAAGGGAAACTTGTCATAATCTGTGTTTTTTTGCTTTWGTTTTCTAGTGTTTTCTGTGTTCCCCTGTGTATCTYTCCCCTGCTGTCATTCCTCTAGCCCCGCCCTCCCTCACCTGTTTCCTCTTGTGTTGTCCCCAGGTGTTTCTTGTTGTCCTAATTAGTTTGCCTTTATACTCTGCGTCCCGTCTTCAATGTTTGTCAGTTCCGTGTCCCTTCTGAGTTTTGTAAGTTTTTTGCTGCAACGACAGCTCTCTTTTTGTTCTTTAAAATAAACTTCTTATTACATTATGGATTTTGCCTGCGCCCTGGGTTTTTTCCGCCTGCAATCCTCACATAATGAAACGACAAACACAGGACACAGAATATAAAGGCAAACTAATTAGGACAACAAGAAACACCTGGAGGAGACACAAGAGGAAACAAGTGAGCAAGGGCGAGACTAGAGGAATGACAGCAGGGGAGAGATACACAGGGCAACACAGAAAACACTTGAAAACTAAAGCAAAAAAACAGATCATGACAAATTTTAGCTTGTTTAATCTTCTTTTTTGTAAATAATAAAGTAATATTTGATGGTTGAATATTGGTGGGCTTTTACACTGCTAGACTATATATTTATTTTGTTTTGACAGATCAGGCTACGTTTTGATATTTTCTTTTAATCAATTTTGCATCATCCACTTTGCTAGAGAAAACGTCATTATTGTTTCGCATTCAGCACTATTTTGTCTCGAATAAGGACCCGTAGAATGAATAGACACCTATGATTGGTCGGTTCCTCAGGACTGTTCTGTGATTGGTCAGATTGGTAGCGGAACCTGCAGCGGCTACTACAACATTYGTTTGCCATGAGTTTAACTTCGTGTTTCATCTCCGCTGTTTAATACATTACTGCCAGTTGTTATTAATGCATAACCAAGATTCAAATGAGTCATTTCAGAAAATACTCGTAACACATTTTAATGAAGCGCTACGAGACATTTGTCACCGAGTTAATGAAGCTAACTTCATTAGCTTAGTAGGCTAACTGTGCATTGGAATCACGGTAGTTAGCATTTAGCTATCAAAGCAGCGATACCAGTAACACCAAGATATAAGGTAAATCATAACAGTGGTTATCCGTTTTTATGTGTTGTTTAGACAATTGTTTAACGAGTTACTCACCGTTAGCAAGACACACCGACCAACAGAGAYAGTTCATGTAGCTGTTCAGCTTTGCTGTGGCTCATTCACGATTAGCAAGTTAAATGAATGACCGCATGAATATTATGGTTTATTGCTAAATATATGCTAGTGCTATCTGTTTTTTTTATTATTTTATTTTCGACAACGTATTATGCAACGTAAATCATATCTAATTAACTACGACTCATCTTCCCCATTTACATGTCTCTGTTAGCAAAATATTTTTAAGCTGCAATGATGTAGCCTAACTTGCTTGTTATTCTGAAATGCACACAATCACATTCCGCCACTTAGCTTGAACTGCGTAACTAACTGCATTTTTAATGTTTTGCTTTTATTTGAAATATGTAATTAGCTTGAACTCAGTAAWCAAAAGCTAGTTTTTAATAGGTTATGTATTAGGTGATATAAGATGGGGTGCATTATGCCTCATCCTGAAAATTATTTTACTTTAGGAATTTATCGCCAAGTCAAACAAAGATTTTAGTGCGTATTATTTGATAGATATGAGCAAGATAATCTGGCAGTAACGGTATCAACAAATCTTAAGACTAGTTCAGGCATGGGCGAACCTGGTTSTCAGGGCTGCAGCCCTGCATGTTTGTTTCTCTGCTCCAACACACCTGATGAATGAATATGATTATCAGGCTTCTGCGGTACGGAGGACCAAAACCAACATAACTCGAAATAAAAGCAGTATTACATGAACCACTAAATAAATACACTTAAAATGCACCAATTAAATTAAAAAAAGGAGAACTTTATCTCCTGTTTTATATTTTAATTGACTTCCATATTTAATTTTCCAGGTTAGTTCCAACAAATTACTCTATAT